AGTATATCAAATGTTATATAATGAGAACATTGCATTATCAAATGCTGATTTTGCGTGAAATGATTGTTGTCATGATTCATCACAATAAATACATGATAAACATTGAATTCGAACGCCTTGCTCCAAGTATTTTATTTTGAAGTACTTGATCCACCACTGCGTGATATCTCTTATGCTTATTATTTCCTGTACGTGTTGCAAATACAAATCCACCGCGCAAGAAAGCTATCTTGTTACGTTATCAAGCGCGCGTAACATGGAAGGGATTCCTTTATTTGGCAGCATTTGGCAGTTTTTGTAATAATCAAGTGTTTGAAGTATTATAAATTTGTTTAAATTTGTCAATTACATAACAAAACAATATTGAACGTATATTTCTTAAACATTTGTTATCCTATCATGTGAATGTATGTGCACAAGGATGGAATGACTCGTTAAAACATTGTTATGACAGCTGACAGAAATGCATCACGTGAATCAGGTTGTCTACTAACAAATATGCTTGTGTTACCGTGCCGATATCAGGGTCAAGTAAATAGTTGCTTTAGATGTACGAATTGATTTCAAAAACATTTGGAATATATTTGATACATCGAAAATTTTATCTTATTAAGAGTTTCTGGTCCAAGAAGTAGTGACTCCATTGCAGAAGTGACGTAAAAACAAGAAAACGCTGTTATAACTTTAAAACGTTTTATTATTATTATTTGCTTAAACTATATCATCAAATTATACACTTATGCGGCATCTTATATTTGAAGACTTTTAGTGCAGTTTCTGAGAAGATTTGCTTATAACAGCTTTATTCTGTAAAATAAAAGCTGTCTGTTCAATAAATGTGTTCTCTTTTTTACGTCACCTCTAGTGAGGATTGAACTACTTTCACGTTACAAAAAAACAAAAAAGATAATATTTTCATTATATCAAGTATATGCAAATGTTCTCAAATTCAATTTTATTTCTAAAGACGTCATATATGCCTGACCTTAACTACAGACGTCTTAACTATGCTACTGTTTGAGTAGTTACTATTAATTTCTATAACTCTCGTCCCTTTTATAACAATTCCATGGTGTATTATGTACGCAATGCGTTCCCAAGTGTTAAATTCTTACCCATTATGACACCAGAGCTTGCTTCAGAGCCTACTTTTGAAAAATGTACTGCCAATGCACTGTAAGCCAATCCAAAAGCACAAGCTTGAGTAACATCAATGGCGAGAACATACCAATAAATTCTTGTAAACGAAAGAGCCAGAAACGATACGGAAAACAACAGTAAAGACAATGCTACAGCACCTACGTCATTTATCCTTTTAATGACGTAACTTGAACAGAAGTGTGTACAAGCAACTACTGGTCTTCGAATCAAAGCTGCCCCACCCATCACCAATGGATTGGCATTAAGTCCATCTAAGTACCAAAATTCCCAATAAATCTGAAACGCCGCACACAGTCCAATGTACAATGTTAGTAAATACATGGATATGCAATGACAGTTACACAAAAGATTTTTTATTTCTGCAAAATTTATTGTGCGTTCATTGTCATATTCGAACTTAAACCACGGTATAGAGACCAAAGATAGCAATGCCAAAGATGCTGCGATAATAAAAGCTGCAAAATAACCATATTTTTCATCTCCACAAATACTTATCCGCACTACCCACGCTGCCAATGCCGTTCCAAATATAGAGACTGTTGCCCCAATAGCATTCCACATATAATATGAGCCAAAATCTTCCCGATTCTTTCCAAGATGTGTTAAAGTTGCCACATTAACCGTCGCATGTGTAATGCCCTCATACATACTGACAAACGGTCTGGAGAGTAACATTAATATAAATATATTACTTAACCATGGAACATAACTTCTCATTTTCACTTGATTGTATGAACTAGTCACTGAAGCATATCCATGAAAAGAATTATTTTCCAAAACGTACTTTACATCAAAAGGCGCAACAAAACATGTTGGCAACGATACAACTAAAGGTAAAAGTGGCAAAAGACAAGCTAAGATTGATGGTAAGGCAGTAACATAAGGCACAAGACATCTCGCTCGAAATTTGTCGCCAATGAAGTTAAAAAATGGAATAAAGAAGTGCTGTATACCAAAAGCTGTAGTTATACCGATCTGCTGAGAGTTCAACCGAAGTTGCTTCATGAAAAGATGACAGAACTCGCCATAAACGACAGCGCTTGCTGTGGTAAAAAAATACCATTTAAGTGAAATTGATCTGATGTAGTGAACATCCATAGCGTTGACTCTTGATTTCATGAATTAAAAATTATGCATGACGCCAATTAATGGTAACTCAAGCATGTAGCACCGATACGCATAGACGTCATAAAGCAATGTTTGACCAATCATTTTCGCCATTCATTGAAATCAAAGGTAGATTGGCAATAAATATTTATTCATCATAATCAGCCTGTATCACACACTACATATACAGTCAAACCTCTATTTACGCACACCTCTCGGAAGCGGACACTGCTTTACAGTCCCGGCCATTACGCTATTAATTTATTATATTTACAACCTCTCCTAAGCGGACACCTTCCGTAAGGGGATGCGGACACCAAAACAACCTAGTCTCAAATAACACTATGACCTCTTGTAAGCGGACACCCTTGAATATAGTTCTTTTAAGATAATATTTAATTTGCCTAGTTGACTTTAATACAGCATAAAAATACAAAAATTTGTGTTTGAGCAAGTTTTTAGAAAGGCCTTATCGCAATAATCATTGTGGGCATGGTACAATCGCTGCAGAGAATCTAATGTTCCTGTGAGTGTTCCCATGCTACAAATGGAAACAAAACTCAACGTCTTGGTGAAAATGAATTTCAAGGTTCAAACGGATGGCTTATGAAATGGAAGAAAAGGTACAATATCGAGGAGATGAGAATCAGTGGTGAGGGCGGTGATGTCAATGAAGGCACGCTTAATAGCTGGCAGGAGCGTGTCAGAGATATGTACCTGAAAATGTGTGGAATATGGACGAGATTGGCCAGTTCAGGAAAGCACTTCCAGAAAGAAATCTTTTGAAGCGAGAAAAGATGCCGAGAAAGAGGAAAAAAGCAAAAGAACGGTGCACATGGGTATTCTTCGTTAATGCCGCTAGTGATAAGGAAGAGCCTACTGTAAATGGCAAGAGCGAAAAGCCACGTTGCCTAAGACTAAAAGGACAGAACTAAACCGTACAAGTGCCACTATTTTACAAACTGGAAAGTGTGGATGAAGACTGTGATTATGGTGGATGTGTTGACTAAATTAAATGTACGATTAAAACGTGAAGGCCGAACAATCATCCTGTTGGGCCGTTCCTTGACAATGCGCCTAGTCTTCTGCATGAACTTAAAGGTCAGTTTTCAAATATTTGTCTGACCTTTTTGCCAAACAATAAAACATCGAAAACACAGCCTCCAGATGCCGGAATAGTTAAATTGCGGAATGTGAAGAATAGAAGAAAGTTGCTTCACTTTGTATGTAGCAAAGTAGGTCAAAAAAATGCTAGTGAAATTGTAAAGTCTGTTCATCTTCTTCAGGCTATTCAATGGGGCAAACAAGCTTGGAATGAAATTGACGAAGAGTCTCAGAGTCTGAGACAGTTCAAAAATGTTTTGGAAAGGTGGAAATGTACCCAGAAAAAATAGGCGATGATGATGATGATGACGATCCCTTTAAAGATGAAGAGATGATTAGTTTGAATGAACTAAGCTCGATATTTAGTAACGACTGTTGTGGCTAGCAATACATTGATGTAGACGACTATGTCCCTTTATGCGATAGTGTGGTCAACATCGAAGATTCCTTCTGGCGGGAAGCATTAAGAACAGAGCTCTTGAGCAAAACAATCTTAAGTGGGAAACATTCAAAGCTAAAAGACCTTCACAACGTCAAAGATGCCTTTGAACAAGAAGGCGATCATTTCCACGTGCTTTTAAAAGAACCCGAAATTAAAACAACTGCCAGAGCAGCACCTGTAACATTCAGCACCTGTAACTATCTACCATTCCAGTTGATTATAAATCTCCTAAATGGTAAGTCTATTCGTTCTACTGATTATCAATAAATTTGTATTATAAACTAACAATTCGTACCTATAAGTCTGTAACAGATCTTGTTTTCAACAATTCGGAGCATGGAGAGAGCTGATCAAACTGTATAGTCTGTTGAAACGCCTGAGCTTACATATAGCTAAACTAGCCAAACTGGACAAAATTAAGAGAAAATTGCGGCAAGGACAAGTCAGCAAATTGCAGAACGAATCTCACAGACTATGTAAGCAAGCTGACAATTTTTCACACTCCTTGTGGCTTTTTGGGGCAGACCTTGCCAAACGAGTGCGTGATGCAAAAGAAATTTGTATCCTCAGGCACTCCATAGGCAATAACAGGGATGCTTTCTCATTTGTAATGCTATGCTTCTGCCAAAATGTTCATACTCGTCCATTGATGACTCAGTTGGGAGAGCTGCCGATTGCTGGTAATTTTTTCAAACTTTTCAGCAACCGCAGCTGGTATTTTTTAGGACCATCATCATGAACTCTTTTTCTCTTGTTGTTTGATCGTAGAGGTGGTTCCGATGGTGTTGCTGCTCTCGATGATGAAGCTGAGGTGGGTGAAATAGATGATGGTGATGATATGAGTTGGAACGAGATTGAGTGCGAAGTCAGATCGACTGCTTCAGAAAACTGACTGCTCTCCAGATTATCAACTGTCAGTGTCAATGCACCAATGCTTTCATCTGTAACTTCATTGACTGATGCATCTTCAATCACAGTGACAGATATGTTAGTTGATGTTCTATATAAAGAATTAACACTTTTGAAACCTATCATCATTATGCTACTAAACACATTCAGCCCTATACAGTAACACACAAATAAAAGGAGACATAAATGTTCATATGTATGCCCTACCGTCAGCGCTTTCTGTAATCGTCCAACCATGTCATCAAACCCCAAAACTCCCATGATGGTGTGGATGAGGCTGGAGCTCTTGATTTTATGGCAGCATCGTTTTTCTTTTTGTATCTGACGTACACATCTCTCAGGCTTTTCATTTTAGCCTTAAGCTCCTCAACTGGTAAAATTGATAAAACAATTTGCTCAATATCTCAAACAATCCAAATTTCAACAGACAACATGTCTTATCACGGCATCACTGAAAAATATCAAAGATAAATAAATTGCTCCTTACCCGTTCCAGTAAAGACAACAGCTCTTAGATCGTCTATAATTTGATCCCACGCATTCATTTTCATCAGCTCATTTTTATAGTTAATGTCTCCAAGATCAAATAATACAGGAAAATTGCGAAAAGAATTTATGAGCGATTCTTCGTCACCAGTCATCTTTCTTCACGTAAGCTTCATAATTTGCAATTTGAGCTAGGAAATAACCAATCACATGCAAGCTACTGAAGCGACCAATGTCAAAAGTTCAACATGCTAAACTTCCAAAGCGACTAGACTCGTGACTGAAACTACTAGCTTAGTGACCGCGCAATTTAGTAGTTTTAGTCGCGCGACTAAAACGACGGCCCAGTTTCTTTCAGCCTTTAGGGCATAATTTAAAAAAACAGAACTTATAAAGTAATATAGGTAATATTTTATATATTTTATATGTCTGAGCTAAATTGTAATCACTTTGTGAAAAAATTGAATTTTCTAATTATATCAAAAATTCGCTTCAACATGAATAGAGTCATTGGACAGAAAAAAAAAAGAAATAATAATAGTTCAATCTTGCTTTGCCAGTAATTCATATCATCCTGCGCCATCTTTTTACGCTATCAGTGGCGGATCTAGGTAAATCAAAATATATTATAGAGGCCTTAAATATTCACAATAACGCAGCTGGTTAGAAAATTCTAAAGAAATTTAAGGTTGAAACAATAAAATGCTGTTTATATTACTATATCTTTAAAGTATTTCTCATGGAAAAAGTGTTTTTGGCGAAGTATTCTAACCTATTTAAACTGTTAGCTATCGTTAGCATATACACATGGCGCATCTAGAGAAGGTCAATAGAGCATCTTGGGAAGGTCAAAATAAAGTACTGCAGCACTTTTGACATTTATTCACATTTCCAAACACTTTAGCGGCAAGTTTATTGGTAAATTATTTTCTTTAGAAATTCCAAAACAATATTTTTATTTTGAAGGTATGTTGAACTTAAAATTAGAGAGTTATGATTTATTTTGACAAACGCTAAATCTACTAATGACATATACTGTCATAAACTTCCTATAGTCACCATCACCATTGTCACGAACGTCCTCACCAATCATCATGACTATAATCATCATCACTTTTTCCATCAAAATCATTGTCAGCATTTTCATCAAAATGAACTTTTACAGCCTCGTCATCACAAGCATTATTTAGTTTCGCGTATTGATTCATTTGTTTTGTAACTGTGAGATACACAATGAATGCGATAAAGACAAAACCAGATACAACAGCATAAATTAGTAAAGTGCAGCGTGTTCCCAAGTGGTGGAAAATTATTCCCATGAGTGAAGCTCCTGAATCTGTCCCCACTTGCAAACACATGCTTAGAATCCCTAAAATTTAAAAAAGATTTTGATGAGTGTTTGCTTTCATGGATTTGCAAAATTTCTAATAATAATTACGAGAGTATCAAATGCTATACAAATGAGACCATTGCATTATCAAATGCTGATTTTTCGTGAAATGATTGTTGTCATGATTCATCACAATAAATACATGATAAACACTGAATTTGAATGTCTTGCTCTACATTATATAACGTAGCAGAGGTACGAAGCAAGAACAAGAAACATAGCAGACGACAAATTTTATAGATTCAAAAAAGTAAAAAGCCACTCTTTCTTTCAGCAAAACACTCGCGTTCTATGTTTTGTTTTGTGTTTCCTGTGCATGTCACAAATACAAATCTACCACACACGAAAGCTATTTTCTTACGCCATCAAGCGCGCATAACAAGGAAGGGATTCCTTTGTTTGTCAGCATTTAGCCGTCGTTGTAATAAATAATTGTTTGAAGTATTATATATTTGTTTAAATTTGTCAATTACATTAAAAAACATTATTGAACATGAATTTCTGAAACATTTGTTATGCTATCATGTGAATGCACGTACTACTTGGAAAAGGATGGAATGAATCTCGTTAAAACAATGCCAAGTCAGCTGACAGAAATGCATCACGTGAATATGGTAGTCTACTAACAAATATGTTTGTTGTTAGGGTGCCGATATCAGGGTCAGGAAAGTAGTTGCTTTAAATGTATGAATTGATTTCAAAAAGATTTGCAATATATTTAATACATCGAAAATTGTATCTTCTTAAGAGTTTTTCTATTCCGGAAGTTACGTTAAAGGAGAAAACGCTGTTATAACTTCAAAACGTTTTTTTATTATTTGCTTAAACGATGTCATCAAAATACACACTTATCCGGCATCATATATTTAAAGACTTTTAAGGCAGCTTTTGAGAAGATTAGCTCATAACAGCTTTATTCTCTAAAATAAAAGCTGTATGTTCAATAAATGTGTTCTCTTCTGTACGTCACAATTGATGAGGAGTAAACTACTTTTAGGCTGCAAAAATATAGAAGATAATATTTTCATTGTATCAAGTATATGCAAATGTTCTCAAATTCGATTTCATTTCTAAAGACGTCATATATGCCTGACCTTGATAGATGCACTTCAACATATGATTCAATAAACAAAAAAGTATTAAAGACGTTTTGAACTGTTCTAAAAACTACAGACGTCTTAACTATGCTACTGTTTGAGTAGTTACTATTAATTTCTATAACTCTCGTCCCTTGTATAACAATTCCATGGTGTATTATGTACGCAATGCGTCCCCAAGTGTTAAATTCTTACCCATTATGACGCCAAAGCTTGCTTCCGAGCCTACTTTTGAAAAATGTACTGCCAATGCACTGTAAGCTAATCCAAAAGCACAGGCTTGAACAACATCAATGGCGAGAACATACCAATAAATTCGTGTAAATGAAAGAGCAAGAAACGATAGAGAAAACAACAGTAAAGACAATGCTACAGCACCTACGTCATTTATCCTTTTAATGACGTAACTTGAACAGAAGTGTGTACAAGCAACTACTGGTCTTCGAATCAAAGCTGCCCCACCCATCACCAATGGACTGGCATTAAGTCCATCTAGGTACCAAAATTCCCAATAAATCTGAAACGCCGCGCACAGTCCGATGTACAATGTTAGTAAATACATGGAAATGCAATGACAGTTACACAAAAGACTTTTTATTTCTGCAAAATTTATTGTGCGATCATTGCTATATTCGAACTTGAACCACGGTATAGAGAGCAAAGATAGCACTACCAAAGATGCTGCGATGATGAAAGCTGCAAAATAGCCATATTTTTCATTTCCACAAATATTTATCCGCATTAGCCATGCTACCAATGCCGTTCCAAATATAGAGACTGTTGCCCCAATAGCATTCCACATATAATATGAGCCAAAATCTTCCCGATTCTTTCCAAGATGTGTTAGAGTTGCCACATTAACAGTCGCATGTGTAATGCCCTCAAACATACTGACAAACGGTCTGGAGAGTAACATTAATATAAATATATTACTTAACCATGGAACATAACTTCTCATTTTTACTTGATTGTATGAACCAGTCACTGAAGCATATCCATGAAAAGAATTATTTTCCAAAACGTACTTTACATCAAAAGGCGCAACGAAACATGTTGGCAACGATACAACTAAAGGCAAAAGTGGCAAAAGACAAGCTAAGATTGATGGTAAAGCTGTAACATAAGGTACAAGATGTCTTGCTCGAAATTTGTCGCCAATGAAGTTAAATAATGGAATAAAGAAGTGCTGTATACCAAAAGCTGTAGTTATGCCGATCTGCAGAGAGTTCAACCGAAGTTGTTTCATGAAAAGATGACAGAACTCGCCATAAACGACAGCGCTTGCTGTGGTAAAAAAATACCATTTAAGTGCAATTGATGTGATGTAGTGATCATCCATAGCGTTGATTCTTTATTCATGAATTGACAGTTAAGCATGACGCCAATATTACTAATTCAAGCATGTAGCATTTATACGCATGGATGTCATCAGACAATGTTTGACCAATCATATTTGCCATTGATTGCAACCAAATGTAAATTAGCAATTAGATTCTTTTTGGTCACAATTAGACTGTATCACTCACTATTTACATATTTTTAACTAGTGTTTTATTAGCGACAAAAGGCTTGTATAGTAAAGTGAATGTTGACAGATTTTTGATGTGATGATTTAGTGACAGATTTGTTAACTTTCGCACATATTGCATATATATTTTCGGTAACATGGCGTCGTTAATATATGCCTGCTGTGTTTCTCTGTTCTCAGCAAAAAAAATTGGATGTATATCTTATTAAATTGATTGTCTTGTTCGATAAGAAGATCGGCCGACGGTGGAACTTGTCAAAATGCATTTGATTTATCGTAGCCTTTTGTCAGCACGAAAAAAACATACTTTCCTTGAAAAAACCATATGGAAGCGACTATTTCTCTCGATGAAGGCTTACTACTGACTTGCTATCGATAGATTGCACTTATTTAAGAATGCAGCAAATATTGTGTGTCACCGCCGACTCGCATGGATGTCGACTAGCAATTATATATACAACTCATAATTGAATTAACAAGGAAGTTCTGCTCTGACATTTTAACTTCATTTGATGATGCAATTAACACAGAAATTGCTTGTAAACGGAATTATTTCAAATATAATGTAGATAATAAATGATTATTAACTTTGTATGTTATGTGCTTTAATTAAATATTCTTTGTTATTATCCTAACGTTTTGAATCAGAACATACACACTGAGGAAAACAAAGTATTTTTGTTCACCGTAGACACCGTTGTTTTCCGATGCTGACATAACATTGTCGATGAAGGGTCAACCATTGCATTGAATATATCATAATATATGTTTGATCGGTAGATTTTTAAGTTTTACATATAACAATATAGTATATATAATTCATAAATAAAGATAGGACAACAAAGCACACTGCCATCCCAAGGCCTCGGAAATTGTCACTCTAAAAGTACTTATACTGAATAATTTTTTACCCATGAACAAATAAATAGATGAAATATTCAAATTTCAAAATATGATGTACAGTCAAATCTTTATTAAGTGGACATCCTCGGGGAATGGACTTGTTTCCGCTTATTATAGAGGTGTCCGTTTAACAGAGGTTTTCGTCATCAAGCCTCTCCCGGTTGAAAATAATATAAATAGTAAAATCAACAAATAAACGGCGCAAATATATTTAGAAATGACTTCAATTAATAACAAAAAAACTGAGAAAAATTTTTAACAATAATTAGTAATATATAGTAAGTAATAAGTGGCTGAACGAAGATTTTGCTGTAATGTGATGTCGTGTAAATCTTTTAGACAACGACAAGCTATATATGACATTGACAAGTTATGTTTAATAATAATTTGTAAACAATTCCATGTTTGATGTAAGCATTTTATCTTCAACGCACTTGCATTGTGACTAATATCTTAATAACTGTTGTCACAATATGTTTGTGACTAACATTATGTCTTTATATAACATGAAATATTTTGGAAAAATTGTCCATTAAGCATATTTCTTGCGTAATTATTGGACAATTTTTGTGTATGCGTCCGCTTAATAGAAATGTCCGCTTGATAGAGGTTTTATTACTACAGATTAAACGATATTTATTTCGGGAGTTTACTAAGTGTCCGTTCAATACAGGGTGTCCGCTAAATGTAGGGCTGCTTAACTACAGGTTTGACTGTATAACTAAAATAACATGAAGAACAATAAGTGGTTGTTTTTCTAAAAACGTGCGCTTTTTTTGTTGAGGTTAAACGCTGACAAATTGATTACGGGGACTGCAGAAGTTTGATAAGGGGAGGGGGACAAAGCATATTCATGAATATAATCAGTATGATCACAATAGGTTTTGGAAGATGAAATCTGGTTTTGTATAGGCATACAACTTATGTTGCACGGTTCAATCATAAGAAATGTTTCTTCACTTATACCAATAACACTTATACCAATAACCTAGTCTCAAATAACACTATGACCTCTTGTAAGCGGACACCCTTGAATATAGTTCTTTTAAGATAATATTTAATTTGCCTAGTTGACTTTAATACAGCATAAAAATACAAAAATTTGTGTTTGAGCAAGTTTTTAGAAAGGCCTTACCGCAATAATCATTGTGGGCATGGTACAATCGCTGGAGAGAATCTAATGTTCCTGTGAGTGTTCCCATGCTACAAAAGGAAACAAAACTCAACGTCTTGGTGAAAATGAATTTCAAGGTTCAAACGGATGGCTTATGAAATGGAAGAAAAGGTACAATATCGAGGAGATGAGAATCGCTGGTGAGGGCGGTGATGTCAATGAAGGCACGCTTAATAGCTGGCAGGAGCGTGTCAGAGATATGTACCTGAAAATGTGTGGAATATGGACGAGATTGGCCAGTTCAGGAAAGCACTTCCAGAAAGAAATCTTTTTGAAACGAGAAAAAGATGCCGAGAAAGAGGAAAAAAGCAAAAGAACGGTGCACATGGGTATTCTTCGTTAATGCCGCTAGTGATAAGGAAGAGCCTATTGTAAATGGCAAGAGCGAAAAGCCACGTTGCCTAAGACTAAAAGGACAGAACTAAACCGTACAAGTGCCACTATTTTACAAACTGGAAAGTGTGGATGAAGACTGTGATTATGGTGGATGTGTTGACTAAATTAAATGTACGATTAAAACGTGAAGGCCGAACAATCATGCTGTTGGGCCGTTCCTTGACAATGCGCCTAGTCTTCTGCATGAACTTAAAGGTCAGTTTTCAAATATTTGTCTGACCTTTTTGCCAAACAATAAAACATCAAAAACACAGCCTCCAGTTGCTGGAATAGTTAAATTGCGGAATGTGAAGAATAGAAGAAAGTTGCTTCGCTTTGTATGTAGCAAAGTAGGTCAAAAAAATGTTAGTGAAATTGTAAAGTCTGTTCATCTTCTTCAGGCTATTCAATGGGGCAAACAAGCTTGGAATGAAATTGACTAAGAGTCTCAGAGTCTGAGACAGTTCAAAAATGTTTTGGAAAGGTGGAAATGTACCCAGAAAAAATAGGCGATGATGATGATGATGACGATCCCTTTAAAGATGAAGAGATGATTAATTTGAATGAACTAAGCTCGATATTTAGTAACGACTGTTGTGGCTAGCAATACATTGATGTAGACGACTATGTCCCTTTCTGCGATAGTGTGGTCAACATCGAAGATTCCTTCTGGCGGGAAGCATTAAGAACAGAGCTCTTGAGCAAAACAATCTTAAGTGGGAAACATTCAAAGCTAAAAGACCTTCACAACGTCAAAGATGCCTTTGAACAAGAAGGCGATCATTTCCACGTGCTTTTAAAAGAAAACGAAATTAAAACAACTGCCAGAGCAGCACCTGTAACAGAAAATCTTCTAGATTTCGCGTATTTCATGGGCAACGAAGAACTTCCCCAAGCTGTAGTAAGAGTTAATGATATTCTTACCGGACATGTGTGTTGCAGGACGAATGCAAATGCTCATCACAACTTTTTTTCAAAGCATCTTAGCTATAACTAAATAGTCTAATATTCATAGCTGCAGTATAGATATTAAATTAGTAACGTTTTATGCGGTTTTTTGATTTAATAGTAGCTATCAAAGTATATTTATCATTCAAAACATTAAAAGAATAGTGTTTCAACAGTTAAGTCATTTGTTCTACAATTACGTCATCAATCAAAAATTAACAAACCTCACGTAAACCAGGTCTTGGTCCCGAAATTGTTCGCTTATGAGAGGTTCGACTAATTCTTTCCTGTTATCAGTCTACGTCACTACGGATTAACATAAGAAGCACGCGCGCGTTTTTAAATAGCCATTGTACGTTCGCCTTTCGTAGCCGTAAGATCAAAGACCTTGTCAGAAAGCAGAAAATCCTATCTACCATTCCAGTTGATTATAAATCTCCTAAATGGTAAGTCTATTCGTTCTACTGATTATCAATAAATTTGTATTATAAACTAACAATTCATACCTACAAGTCTGTAACAGATCTTGTTTTCAACAATTCGGAGCATGGAGAGAGCTGATCAAACTGTATAGTCTGTTGAAACGCCTGAGCTTACATATAGCTAAACTAGCCAAACTGGACAAAATTAAGAGAAAATTGCGGCAAGGACAAGTCAGCAAATTGAAGAACGAATCTCACAGACTATGTAAGCAAGCTGACAATTTTTCACACTCCTTGTGGCTTTTTGGGCCAGACCTTGCCAAACGAGTGCGTGATGCAAAAGAAATTTGTACCCTCAGGCACTCCATAGGCAATAACAGGGATGCTTTCTCATTTGTAATGCTATGCTTCTGCCAAAATGTTCATACTCGTCCATTGATGACTCAGTTGGGAGAGATGCCGATTGTTGGTAATTTTTTCAAACTGTTCAGCAACCGCAGCTGGTATTCTTTAGGACCATCATCATGAACTCTCTTTCT